TCTGGGTCCTTTATTGCACTCAAATATTTTCCATCAGGAGAAACATCAGCTACTGAGTTCAATAAATTTTCTCTAGGAATGCGAAGACTGTCGAACCTGGCAAATACAAAATGATAAAGCCATCAGGCCACACTCATTTACCAGATAACATAAAATTTATGGTTCGTGTAGCCACAAAAGAGAATCATCTATACCAGATTCGACCATTGTCAACGCCATTTAAACCAATCTTATGACCACAATCAGCAATCCGGATATTGGGACAGATATTCCCATTTTCATCTCTGATCTGGGTGATAAAAGCATGGACTCCATGATTTTTGCCGTCAATATTCAGCTGAGAGAAAACTACTGCATGTGTCGCATACTATGAGACATTCAAGGGAGAGCACGCTATTAGTAGAGTAAAAGGAATATTAAATGTCAAAAAGACTGGAAATCACTAGTTGGATTGAATGATTACGTTAGCTGCACCACCAATCCAGTACTTTTGAGCTGATTCACATGGAGTGTTGATTACAAACTCTCCCATGTTTGCCTCATAAGTTGCTGTTGTTTCAATGCCTCGAACCTGGAATTATTGATTCAAAATGCATTGATAAGCAAGTAAAAATAGAGGATAAATCTGTTGACAGGCCATATGTCTGATGCTAATCGATTGTACCCTCTTTACATACATTGCTTCCATGCCCCAATTCTGTCATGGCAAAGCATCCGTTAATCAAGTAATTTTCTGTCGCACTCAACCACTTATCGTGATGTCGCTTTGTGCCAAAAAATTGGATTGCACCGCCCCTGGAATCGTCAACAATGAAGCAGTTAACCTGCTGCTGATATAAATAACTCAAAGCACAATGTAAAGAGAACTCCAATCTAACTAGTTTCAGATACGCTCTCAAAAGACGGTTCAGGAAACTCAACCATCCACTTGTTAAACATGAGCTCAGTTAAGAGATGGATAGAAGTGATAAAAATTACCAAATTCGTGCCACAAGGAAATAATTTTACTAGTCAGATCCTACTATTTGCTCCACCATGCAGAGTTCTCAATCCAAAATAATTTCTTTTTTTTTAAAAAAAAAGAGGGCATACCAATTGATTAAGCAAAACACAATATTGGGATTTTTCACAAATTCATAAATGCAAGTTAAGAAAACCGTGAGGCCGGAGAAGTAGGGTACAGCTACAACTTCAAAATGGAAGTAACTCAAGCTGTCAAAATTGTACGTTTTCCTAAAGATGACATTTATAAACCTCAAAAAAACCTCATAAAACATCAAACATACCACGTTAAGAAGTGCGCACCAATGTTGATAGCAAGAGCGCAATCAAAAACCTCAATAACCTCCAAAAGAGCAAATTTTTTCAAAACAGCTTCAGGCCCTTTACCTGTCAACCACCCCTTGAACACCCCATGATCCAGTAAAAACTCAATTCTCTTCTTAGTCATCTCTCTTTGCTGCTCCATGGAGTGATTATAATCCGGCATCACAAATACTTTGCCACCCCTTAGCCTTGGATTGAAAAGTTCACTCTGTACCATGAGATTAAAAAGCCAGTCCCTGTCACCCAAATTGTGCCCATCCATCAGTTTCCTCATTGAAGTCACGTCAAACGAAAAGGGTTGTTCGGAAACTTCCGGTGGCACGTAGCTGACGCATGGTGAGGCGGAAATTGTGGCGTTGGTTGCATGGCGGTGGTTTTGGAGGTGCCCGCTTAAAATTTGGGTTCTGAAATTAACTTTTTCCATAGAGTTGATAGTTTTGAATTGCAGAAGATATATTTGTTTCTCCATTGCTTTACGTTAAATAGTGGATCAATAAGCCGGCATGGGGAGAGGGGCTTAGTCAATGCGCGCTCACATAATATGTGTAGATGCACGCGAG